CATTTCAAGAACATTACTCGCCAAAGGCAATCATTTGAACACACAACCGCTAACGTTATATTAACGACGTGAGAGGCTATTCAAAAAGAACATTTTCGATAATTTTTGAAAAAAGCAAAATAATAGAGGCGAAATGGCGTTCATGAGAGATCATCTCATACATTAGCAGTTATAATGAATCAAACGTTTAAGCAAAAAATGGAGCAGTTTTGAGAAAAACGTGTTTTTAACATAATTCAAATAGTGCACTCAAAAACTACTAAAAGTATAAAATTGCACATTTCTTTATTAGTAGAACATAATTACGTAGAAACATTATATTAGTTACTGGAAAAATCTCAATTTTCAATTTGTTAGTTCTTGGAAGACACCAACAAAACTTTAAACTGTAGAAAATTTACGAAAATTTTAGAATTAAACAGTTGAAACGGATTTATGCCATCTTCATACGAAAAAGGTATTATTTTACATTGTTTTCAACGCATTTGGAGCCATTTGGAAACATTTAGAATTTTAAAGGGTCTTCATGTAAACTATTCTCAAATTTTAAAGAAAAGTTTATCGCAATCGCAGCGTCTCGAGAGCGAGCCCAGATAACCAAGGGAGTATCCAGTTTGAAAAGGAATCCCTACGTATGGTGAAGGCGCTGGTGGTGTTCCACTGACATACGCACGGCATGACATTTTGGAAAAAAATCTCAAATATGGTGTCAATGACCCACAATTTCTGAAACATCTGACTACATTAACGAGATAAGAGGGGTAATTTTGTACAAATTGAGCAGAATTATAATACTTTTTCTGTAGTAGGCACCAAGTGAATTTACGAGTTTTTGTGTCGAAAAATACCGCATTTTGATGCAGCATTACATCGTCTATACAAAACTATATTATTCCTATATTACGTATGCATACGAGAAAGTAAAACTTTAATCTTCAAAATTCTGTGTTGTAGAAAGACATCGAAAACATTTCAACATCCACAAATTTCGAAAAATGAAGAATTTCCAAAGAAAACTGAAACAATGTCTTTCATGCATTCTCTATGGAGAACCATAATAAATAAAATGTGGAACTTTTGAGGGGAAAATTTTGAAATAGTGAGGCTTCCCATATGAAATATCCCAAATCCAAATATCCGTTTCAAACTCGCACGTCCTCGAGTGCATTCACATAATCGGGAATTCAATTTTGTAAAAATGCGTCGTTTAGGCGTTTGCATAGACTACAGAGAAAAGGCCGTTTTGTCGTCAATCGATTTCGCAGTAACAAAAAACCACCAAAACAGGTACTGACTCATGCATTGTGTGGAAGTAACTTTTACTAATTAAGGAACAAACTATCCCCTTATTCACTACTTGGGCTCGGGAATACGGTTTTTGATGTTGGCCATTTTCCTGATACTTGCAGTGTTTGAGTCTCGCCCCCTTTCACTGAAAGACTTTAGGAGAAACTTCATTAGAAATCATGTAAAGACTTTTACTTACAAATCCGATATATGATAAAAAACTTTAATATATACATCTGAATTTCGGAAAAAAACAAGATTTCATTGAGGAAACATGCGGGTGCTGACAAAAAGCGTAGCTTTTCAGTACTAGTTTTGTAGTATGTAAACTGGAGTTGATATTTTAAATTCTTAAATGCAATTTAACACACAGATACAGACCAAGAAATGACCAAAATTACAAAGTATTTTTCACCTGATTGCACGAAGGTGCATTATTTATTAAAACATACGTAATCTAGGATAAAATATATCTCAAGCTTAATTTACAAGAATATAGAATAAAAAAGCATGAAAATGAGGGATTGCAACACTTATCAGAAGAATAGCAATAGTGTGGTATCCTCTCTCTCTCTCTCTCTCTCTTTCTCCTCTATAGATATATATATATATAGATATGTATATATAGATATGTATATATAGATATGTATATAGATATGTATATATATTTTATATTATAAAATTATCTCTCGAACAATATGATTTCTTTACAACGTATATCTTCACTCATTACTAAAATAGGTATTTTTATATAGATTGATTTTACTGTAATACACGTAAAGTTGGTATTGGCCAGTAAAACAACAATAAATCTCTATATATAGATTGAACATTACAATATCTTGATACGCAGCTTTTACAATACTCATACAAATATTACCTTCACTATTCGCAGAAGTCATATTTCATGCATCTTCTTTCAACTGACCAAGTACCTTTTAATCTTAATTTTAAGTGGTAGTTTTTTATACTCATATACCAGTTGTACGTAAGGTTCATTTATTGATATGATATTTATTCGAAAAAATGGGCAATGTCTACTCCAAGTTTAACTGCAACTGTGGATCTTCCATCATTGCACTTTCGCAACGATTTGAAGCTTTACCAACATCCGGGACTACAGCAACACCAGCACCCAGAGCAATGAACACAGGCGTGAAGACGTCATAACTTGGGGGTTCTCAATTGCAGAGCATGAGAGAGACGAGCTGAAGAGCCTTGCAGTTCACTGTGCCGGTTCAGTAGGTATTCACTATAACAACATCTACGTGTAAGGAAACATGCGGCATACACTTCCCGACGACTACAAATTAATCAGAAAAGAAAACCTGCGAGCGTTCTATGTAAAATACAATTACAATAAATACACTAAAAAAGCAACGCAAAATTTTTGCTGCAGGACATGAAATGATCAGATTCTCGTATTAAACTGTTCGACTTCCACAGTGGTCCAATCCGCTGTAAACCCACATGGGGCATTCCCTGTCAAATTGAAAGATGTAATAATTTTTTTATGTCAACTACGATCAAATGAATGAAACCAATATTTTGTGTTTCAGCATTGTACATATAATTTCAGTTTTGATGTGCTTTTGGGAGCAAAACCGCGACTTTTGCGAAAGTCTTTAAAGTAGAAAAAACAAACTATATCTCATTTCTCAGGTGATTAAATACGCCTTTTATTTGTTTTGATTTAGAAATTCAGAAATAAATTTAATTGCTTTTAATTATTGTAGAAAAATATGAATGCAATTTTAAAATTGATAACCACAAGATAATCCATTTTCCATACATCATATTAAACTAGATGCAAATCTCTTTTTGTGACAATTTTCAAGATGGAGAAACGATGGAGCATGTTACACTGAAGGAACAATTATCTCAGCAAGCAGGCACTGGGTATGCAAAAGAGATGTTCGCAATATTTTATATAGTTTAATTCAGGATACAACTTTTTAAGAACATACACAAGCACCAGTTTTAAACACATGAGATATCCATAGATATCATATCTTCATAGTTAGAAAACACTTTAACTATTATTGTTCTTTTTGAGTCCATTAGAAATACGTGAAATGATTGTGTGCCAGGTATCTTTCTAGCAGTTGAAAATCTAGTTTCATGTGCTTTCTTCTACGATGCATGATCCTAAGAGGTAAAAAATGTGTAAACATTTTCTGGATGTTTCTCTGTTTCCGTAAAGAACTTACAAGAGATTCATGTGATATTGAAGACTTCCCCCTGCTTCCAACCGCTTGATCGTCCAGAACTATCACAGCGATCTTGACAGTTGGAATGTTGAAGAAAAAATTCATAAGTCTTCTTTCATGACGACCAAAATTTACAAAGTCCTTTGTTTTTATAATGGTAACTTGCACCATAGAAAAATGATCGTAATTTTGTTAATGGCATTTAATTTTTCATCCCATAATCTCTATAACTGATCCTGGAATAAATGAAAGGTTATTGGTACGTGTTTAAAAATTTCAGAAATAGCAAAAAATAGTGGTCCTTAATTTCGGAACTCTCTTTATAACAAGTAGCAAATGGATGCCCCGTAACTTGTGAGTAGTGCCAGTAAATTGGGTAATAGGATGAATGGATAATTTTCCTAAAAATCAAACACCGCGATTGAATCCAATTCTTTCACATTGGAATTAAATCACAACCCTGTTATGTCGATGTGCCTGGAACAGACGAATTTCAACTGCATCTACCTTCTTCTACTTGGACACAAGAAACATTTCTGACTGTAGAAATTTGCAGGCGTCAATAATCCCTGACTTTTAAATGCGGGGTCAGCTAAATATCAGTTCTATTGAACTTTTTTAACATTGTTGGAATAACTTGCCTCCAGGTTTTGGTATGTTTCCTTTAATATATTTCTTAAATAAAAGGATTGTTTCTCAAAAAAATGTGTTTCCCTCCATTCTACACTGTGTATTATTATGTGTACAACGCAACTATTCCCTTGAAAGATTATTTGCCACATGAACCCTCCACATGACTGTTCCCTGTTGTACGGGTGTATGTTTTTAATCTTCTGTGAGGCTCTCTTGGTAATAATTTCTGGGAATCTTTTGGCAACTCGGAACATTTATGATTAATTAACCACATGCGGACCCTGAACGATGTGGGCCCGCATGTGGTTAATTAAGACTTTTCTTTGTGAACCTTGTCAAATAGGCCGCCTAATCACACGGGCGGTCACTGCTGGCGATTCGCCTGTGCTTAACAACTGTACCACTCATATTTTTTTTAGCAGATGGATTATTTTATGGACGTTCACCACTGTGGATCCGCATGTGCTTAACTAAATTACTTTTCTTCGCGAATCTCTTCTGGCAGAAAGAGCATTCATAAAGGCGTTCACCGCTATGGATTCGCATGTGACCAACTAAATGAACCCTCTGTGTGAATCTCTTTGGACATACGGAACATTTATGAGGGCGTACACTGCTGTGAATCTGCATATGGGTAAATAAACTACCGCTGTTTGTGAAACTCTTTTGGCAGACGGAACATTTATAAGGGCGCTCACCGCTGTGGACCCGCATATGTCTAACTAAATGACTGTTCTCTGTAAAAGTCTTTTGGCAGACGGAACATTTATGACGACGCTCACCGCTGTGGATCCGCATATGCGTAACTAAAGTACTGCTGTCTGTAAAATTCTTTTGGCAAACGGAACATTTATGAGGGCGTTCACCACTGTGGATCCGCATGTGTCTAACTAAAGGACTGCTCTCAGTGAAACACTTTTGGCAGACGGAACATTTATAAGGGCGCTCACCGCTGTGGATCCGCATGTGTCTAACTAAATTACTGCGCTCTGTGAAAGTCTTTTCGCAGACGGAACATTTATAAGGGCACTCACCGCTGTGAATCCGCATATGCGCAACTAAATTACTGCTTACTGTGAAACACTTTTGGCAGACGGAACACTTATGAGGGCGCTCACCGCTGTGGATCCGCATATGTCTAACTAAATGACTGCTCTCCGTGAAACCCTTTTGGCAAAGGGAACATTGATGACGGTGCTCGTCGCTATGAGCCTTCATTTGCGCCAATAAATTACTTTTACGTGTACTACTTCTCTTTTGGCAGAGATGACACTCATGAGAGCCATCAGCGCTTTGGATCTGTATTTGCCTTCTCCTGCATCTTTCATATTCATTTCCACCTTTCTCTTTTTGATCAAGTCCAACTTCACACCCGCTTTTTGACAAGACGGGTTGTTCGTCCACACGCTTAGCGGAATTCAGCTCCTGGGACTGCAACTCTATCTCTACTGACTCCTCCTTGCGCACGGGACCCTCGCATCCTTTTACTCCCTTTTCGCCCAACACTACGTAGTTTTCATCGTTGCACGAGGGTGTGCAGCCGACGCCATGACGAATTTGAAACTTTGAGTCTGAGAAGTCACCTGTGGTATTGCATTCTCCACCTGTGGGAAGAAATACATGGTTAGCATGAAACTTGTCAGTTTGAAAAATGATCTTTCCAACAGGACGGGTGTTAACTGATAAATCTCTGTCTATTTGGGAATTGGCCAAGTGACTTTATTGCTACGTGTTCGAGACAGTAATTTTGTATATACAGGAAAAAGGTTGATTCACTTCTACATTAACAGGGCGCGGCAATGAGGGCGTTTCTGTAAAAAAAATCGTTTTCGGCGCACCATTACGATACTTTCTCTTCTTACGAAATACGAGATAGTAAAAAGTACATCAGATTTTCTCCTGGAAGTGCTACTCATATCAATGACAGTGATAATTCGTAAGAACATGTTCTGCATGAGAGATTGACGAATCTGGAAACTGAAGGCGACAGTCAGGGTATTGTTTGATTTTAATCACATATTCACATACATAAACAGAAGTGTCTATCCGCGATCCTGAAATAAATGTCTTTCTAACGCTAACGGGTAACAACATATTACAACACACCATTGTTTATTCAATATTCGCCCGTCTGCGCGCTTGTCAGTCTATCCGCCTCTTTGTTCGCATGTTCACATTACATAATTGAAACCCAGTTGTTAACACAATTTGTCCGCTTGCCCATCCCATCAGTTCACCTGCCTTTACACGCCAATTCTAAGAACAAACGAGTATATTCCCTTTACGGTTAATTAACTGTTGAAAAAGTACATACAACAATGATACTGGCATTTAAGATGACTTTTTTCGAAATACTCACCAGCTGACATCTCACTTTTACAACGAAAAATTTCAGTGCCCGACGCCAAAGGGTCCTGCAGGAGAAAAAGAAACCATTAGGGAAATCCATGATGACGGCAGTTGTTCATTGCCTCAATCATATTTACCAGAACATTCGTAAACCACCATTTAATGCATCTATCAAGTAGGTATTCAGTAAGTTACGGAAAACACTGAGTAATATAATACCGTTACTATCTCAATGCCAACATAAAGTAGTGTTACCATGCGAAAGGTAAATTCACACTAAACTCGTTTGTGCTACAAAAGCACATAGTTGCTCACATGCATTGTAACTTTCGGAAATTTCTGAAATTCATATAGTTTAACGAAAATCGGACAAGGGCAGTTTTAAAAAAATTGTTCTAATACACTTTTCCGAAATTTCTATTCCAGGACCGCGCCAATTTTGAAAAAGTAGTACATTACCTGATTTCATGATTTATTTTCAAAAATTGGATCTCACTATGCCAAAGTGTATGCTAAATATTGTAGTAGAACAGAGTAGAAATTTGTTTTTCTTTCCAATTTTAGAAATTTAAAGATATTTACGAAAACAGAAACTATGCCATTTTTATGTGCTTACTTTGCTCTATATACTGTGGCGTTATGGGATTGTGCAACCCCATAACACCACTGTCTCATGTGTGAACACTACGGTGGCAGCGAGGATAACAGGCGTGTAAGGCAGAGGTACTTAAACGCG